GCTATCCTAGGCAACATACAACCCATCCCAGCCAAAAGTTGAAAAGTTTGTTTTACAGCCAGTAAGTTTAACGTGACCTCCCAGGAGCTGCTACAGCCACTCTCCTTCTGTGGGCTGCTCTCTCTTTGGAGGCAGAGTCCTCCCCGAGTTGGCTTCTCTTCGCTTTCAAGCCACTGAGAAATTGGAATCGTTTGAATGAACTACATCCTTGGCCCACCCATGCCCAAGAAAAGCTTGTTTCTGCCTTGGCACTCCGGTTTCGAAGCTAAGCTTCCACTTCCATGCAACGCTCGAGACGCGAAGAAAACTACCGTCTTTAACCCCCCTCTTTATTTCTTCTGGCCCTGTGAGGGATAAGTCCATGGCGACATCGGCCCAAGCGGTCCTGGCTTCTCTGCAAGACCTCCTGGAAGGCTCAGGCCGGGCTCAAGTAAGTTGCAAGGTTGAGCTTTCCCTCGACGGCCCCCCGGGTTTGTGTAGCAGCTAGCAAGAAGATAAAGACAGCTATGCGTCGCTATGCTGCTGTGTTCCCTTTGTGTTGAACACCTATCTCCCATGTACTCTGCCTCTCGTGTGGGTGGTTTTCTGACCGTCAGCTTGTCCCTTTTCGGCGGTCCTTACGCTGAGGCCCTGGTCCCCCTGTTTCAAGATCCCATGTAAGCCTGCTCCAGACAATTAGGATCCTTACTCGAAAGGCCCCTCTAAAGGTCCAAAGGACCACCCCAAGGTCGCCCTGATTCGTCCTGGAGCTTCTGTTGGGCCTCGTTACGCTCCCGGCGCAGTGTCGCGCACTCTTTGTTGCGCTCCAGAAGTGCCGACTCCAGCTGTCCTGCCTGAGCAGTCTATCTATATCTGCAACATGAACCCAATGCACCAACAAAACCAGCCACGAAGTCCTATTGCTTTGCTTGTCTCAGAATGAAACTCACAAACTCCATAGGTTTTCATGTGCTGGCGTGGCCTCTTCGAAACCTGTTGAGTCATACTGCCTTAACCATCAGGCCGCAAGCAACATCATACTATTCCAAGTGCTCTGCCGCACAAAGATCCGGCCCCATCATCTTGCATATTTTCGGTTTTGTTCTTGAGTATAAGAAATTCGAAGCACCGGCGTTTGGCCGAAACTTCTCGTCATGGCGAGACCTCCAAACCGCATGTTCCGACTTATACGATTTGTTCTTGAAGCCTATTCGCCCTACGCCCTGTTAAACAAAGCATTACGACGCCAGTTAACTTTCGATATGGTATCATACACGAAAGAAAACTATAGGATAGGATAAAATCCAAGGGAAGAGCAAAACAGAACAGAACGGCATAGAATAGAATCGAGCTAGTAGAACCGAGCGTAAAGAAGAGACGAGTATGTATTGCAATAGAACTTACTCAGTTGCGTAGAGTGGAATGGATAGAACAGAATCGAGGCGCCTGGGACTCACCTGTCTCCTGGATCGACAAGAGGTCGCCCTGCCAAACTCTGTCGGATCCACTGCTTTGCTGATGCCGTCTGGAGTCAGCATTAAAAGTTAAAATTAGGAGTTTCAGTGCGCAGAGAGCCATCACCGATCACCCATCGTTGTGCCCGACGAAACTTGACAGTTGGTCGTAGCCCTTTCTGTTGCTGTGATGCTACGCCTTCGACCATTTCTTCATAATGTTCGGATGGTTATTGCATTTTTTATCTCAGCTGAAGTAATTAATTGCGATTGCTGCTACTTTGTTTTGCTCACAGTGATGCTTCTTCTCACTCCTATACCCTGTCACCACCGCCTTCGACTTCACCTCACCTCCTGCGAAGGATCTGCAGCATACACCGGAACACAACGTGCAACGTGTCGGCCTGGAGGCGCTGGATTGACGCGGCGTCGGCTGCATGCTGGCGCTGGAGCTCTGTCATTGCCTCGTCGGACCAACAACAGAGGCAAAGTTGGCACGCGACCAAGGCAAAGAAGACCCGAAACGGCTGAATTTGAATTTACGCAATTAGGCAGTACATGCACCTGCCCGGTGTTGCCGAGGAGCAACAGCCGATGGCCATGTAGGCTCACAGAAACTCACGAGAACAACGGGTGGACTGAAAACTCTCCCGAACATTGCCTGCACAGAGTAATTTGGCCTAGAGTATGCTCTATATTATGTGTAGATATATACACATGCTATACGCAAAGGCTGTCCATACTACATACAGGATTGGATATGCTTATGTTATGTATACAGTGCCGCATAGTTGAATACATGTACGATATGTACATATATATATATACACACACCGATAGATACAAAGCTAGATAGATAGATAGATAGATAGATAGATAGATAGATAGACAGATAGATAGATAGATAGATAGATAGACTTACGTCCCGTCCCATAGAGAGGCCCGCCTGGCTCCGCTGCTCGAGCTGCAGCTCTGCCTCCATATAGAAATCCATCTAGCAGCCCCTATTTCAAAAGGCGATGCTATAGCAACCCATATCTATATATATATATACACATATATATATATATATATGGAGATATTAAAGTATTTCGTATACCGTATAGGATCTTTCCTTTTTTTCGGAAAGTCTCAGGGACGCAGGGAACAGCAAGATCGGCCCATTGGGAAGGGCAAAGGTGTTTTGGTGTGCTTACGCATTTTAGCTCCAAGCTTCTATAAGCACGAAGAGCAACCCGTCGTGGTTTGAAGCTGCAACCGACTATCTAGTTTGAGAAGGTGGAAACGGCAAAGTTGGAAACTTGACCCCGAACCAGTGGTAGCCTGAAGCACATTCTGAGTCCCTGCTCGCAAACTCCGCGTATGCTGACTGTCTGGCTGCGACTCGCTGTTCCTACCAGCAGCGAAACAAACGCCGTGATGGCTCCTGCCATGATTAGCCTCCTCAAACAATCCTTCTGAGGTATTCCGGGCCTCTCTGAGCCGCGTCTCCAGCTCTTTGCTTGCCTGCAGATCTGGACTTCTGGACTTCCTTAGGGCTTATAGGGTTTAGGGCTCTTGGCCGAGGCCTTGGGGGGCAAATGAAGAAGTTCGCTTCCGGGATTCTTCCCGGCCACCGGTCTCAATATCTGACTGGGAAGGCTGAAACTGCTGGAGACCAAAACGGCACGGCAGCCGCTGACACATACCACTAGTACCAGTGATGACAATGATGATGATACCATAAGATCATGAATCAGGATAAATACTACTTTCCTCGCAGCTACCAGCAGGCCGTCTGCGATGCCGGTGGTGCAACATACTCATTTTTGGCTTCGCTCTGCATTGCCATGCAGCTTCTTTCCAGACATCTTTCCAAGCTCACCGGAAGGAAACCTCGAAACCCTAAGCCCGGTCCCAGCATTGGAACAAGCCGGAAGCCTACCAAACCCTAAACCGTTATCTATCTGCCTCATCCGACAAATCCTCGACTACTTGGAGGTTCAGGGGACTTAGTAAGTAAGGTTATAAGTCATAAGTCCCTTAATTGGGGTTATAAGTATAGTTACCCTAATGATAACCCTACTTACTAAGTCCCATGATCCTTTAAGTACAAGTCTGCAATTCCGGGGGCCTCTTCAAAGGGTAGCAACCGCCGGATTTCCAGCTGCAAGCGTTCTGCCTGAAGTCTAATTCTAATGTAGGGGCCTTGATAATTAGAATAGGGTTTTGGGGCCCATTATACTACCTTAAGAACCCAAAACCTACTTTTTTGTAGGGTCCCGATAAATCCCATATTAGGGTTTATAATAAGAACCTACAAAAGTGGGTTTTGAAAATTTTGGGGCCCATTCTACTATAATGATAAAAAAGGAACCCCCAAAAGTATTTAGGCCCCCAATGTAAGTTTCGTTCCCAAGGCTAGCCGTTACGCCTGCATCTTCGCAGTGTCCGGCTTTGGGTTGCGGACGCCGGGGTACGGCTTTAGCATGCTTCGGGCGTCTCGTTGGGTTTCAATGGGTCTGGCCCGGGTCTGGCGACGACATATACATATGTAATAGGTGGATAGATAGATGGATAGATGGATAGACAGATGTATATATAGATGTACACATACTTGCGCGTGTTTAACTTAGCATGTGCGGCTGGCCGTCTTCAGGAACAGCCTCGCTAGTCCTGCGCCTCAACCTGCCAGAAATGCTGAAGTACTTCGCAAGCCTGGACCAACCAAGCCAAAGGTGCATCTTGCAGCTTTGCCACGCACCGCATCAGCTCCTTCTCCGGTTGGGAAGTACTGTACGAACCGTTGCAAAACATGCGTGCAAATTGGTTGTGAATCAACATCGTCATGGTGGCCGTGAGTGGTGTCGCATTGGTGACAGCGGTGGCGGTAGTGAGGGGGTTTCAATAACCCGGAGAAGCATAATATATCATAAGTACTGTAACATACTCACAAAATACCGTAACGTTATGAACAGGAAGCCTGTTATGATAATGTACCATGTGATCGTAGCGACGTACCGAAGACAGATCTTGCAGCCAGGGTAAGTCGACACCGAGAGATCTGCGAGCTTTTGGTGGTCTTTTGAAAGGGGGCTCACCACAAGAGAACGTTTGCATATGGGTATGAGCAAGACGCGTGAGTCTGTGCTGCAAGATATTTCAATAGGTGAGTCGTGGACTCTCAACAACATGATTCCATCATGACTTCGGTACATGTGGGTACGCATGTGGAACCCACGGTCATGCCAGAAACATATCGTGAAGCCTTGCAGTCCACACGATGAAGCTCGAAAGAGTGCTTGATGCAGCCAACATCCGCTTCCTAGCGATCCTCCGAAGCGCAGCAACAGCCAGTCAAACGATAGTACTTCAGCTTGTCTATGCTAGAGTAGCTCAGAAAGGCTGCAGCACCAGAGGGCTAAGGGCAAACAGCCGTGAAATCGATACGAGTACTGGTGTGCAACAGATGCCCTACACTCCCAGCCTCCCTGCTCTGCGCCAGTTCCTGCCGCAGCCTTTCCTGCAGCTCATCACAGCATTGGGCTCAGATGGGCAAAGTGCTGGAGCCCCACAACCCTTTTTTTTTCCAGGACTCTTGCAAGCAGCCGGGAAATGTGGGGCTAAACCACTAAACTCATGAACCCCAAACCCATAAATCCCACAGGCTTATGCTGAGCACTGAAGCCGTCGAGCTGCATTCTCCGTTGAGCCGGCATTTGCAACTTGGGAGGTCTCCTGCACAGAAGTTGGCTTCAGAATTGCTTAGGACGAACTCCGGGTATATCAAGGAAACTAAGTGAACTAAATACATCCGTTTGAACAGAATCTGAAGTCTAGGCTTGAGATTGGGGGTGTGCTCTCATCCTGCCCTACCCTAGGGTACAATGCTAACCACTGGTTGTCCCCGTCTCTTCCCTTGCCAGCCCTGGGAAGGACGGGATAAAGCATGATGTGCAGCCCGTCCTGGCTCCTCTGCAAGACCTCCTGGAAAGTTGACAGCCAGACAGAAGCTTTCAGGCCTCTGTAAAGAGACCTTCGCAACACTGGCATTGACATCCATAAGCTGGTGCAGTCGTCTGCTTGTTTCTGCCGATTCCGTTTCTCTCGGTTTTGTCACCCGCCTAGCCGACTATAGCCCCCGCAACTGCAGGCAGCTGCTTGGGCGGCATTCTCTGAACCCCTCCCGGTTCGCTAATAGTAATTTAATCCCTTCGTTTGGGGAGACAGCAGCTAGCATGCCCGTTTTGCTCGATGGATGCTATGCAAGCATATCCCGGAGCCCTATAGACCAGATCCCACTCCCTCCACAAACTCAAGTCCCCCAAGCCCTTCCGTCCTGCAGCCTCTGGTTGGCCTCGTTCCGCTCCCGAAGCGCCAACTCCAGTTGCCCTGCCTGCGCTTCGCTGCTGTCAACCCCACCTCATGCCTATACTCCTCTTATAGTAAAAAAAGTAGTAGCATCTATAATTGCAATAGCATTATTAATTTTAGCAGTGGTGACCCCCAGTAGTAACGATCGCTTCTGATTTTGTTCTGCCGGGGATGTTCCAAGAGCCTTCTGCGGTAAAGGTTCTTTACGGCTCAGGGCTTGCGCTCCCGCAACTCGGACAGGCCTGGCGAGGTCTATTAAGTGCGGGTGTGGGTCGGTGCGACACAGAGTAATGCTCCCCGGTTTAGGGTTTAGGGCGCAGGATATAGTACAAGTGTCATTTTTGAACCGGTTCTGAAGCAAAGTGGCAGTGTCATGATGTGTGGATTTACGGTACTATGACCGGGGTACTGTAAGGGTACCAGTAGATTCATTAGATGTGTGGGCTGCGGGCAGTACGTACCCAATGCATGTTGTACTCCTCCCTGACTTGCTGCCCGCAGATCTCTGACGATCACCCTCTAAGCCCTTTTTTGCACAGGCTTGATTGGAGCTCGCCCGGCCAAGTTCCCTCGCAGCGCAACCCTAAAGCCTAAACCCCCCTTAGCTGATGCCGCCAGTGGCAGGATTTAGAGACAAGACAAGGCGATGCCTTCAGGCCAGGGCTTGGGAGATTAGGGGCTTATAGGTTTTAATACATAAGCGTTAATAATTCATGAAACTAGGATTTTGGTGTAGATTATACTACATATATATATATATATACTTGAAACACAAGGATCCCGAAAATAGCCTTGGTTATTTAGGCCCCTGTATTGGGTTCAAAGCCGCGCAGAAGTCGCTTGCTTCAGGCGCCTGGGAGGCTCCGGCTTCCTGGGTCGATGCCAAGTCGCCCTGACAGGACCCATCGATGAGGGCTGGTATCTTTAAGTATATTTAGTATGATGTGATAGTCTATGATCGTATATGATCGTATATCATGGTATATCATGATTAGTCATAGTGTACTATAGTTATAGTATATGATGGTATGTCATAGTCTCATTACTCCAGTTTCCTCTAGTTGCCGACGGCTTGGGCTTCTTGGCTTCCTAGCAGCTGCTTGGTCGGGACCTTCAGCCTGCGAGGGGTTTCCAGGTGCGGCTTTGGTCTCTGACGCGTTAGGGACCACCTCCTTAACCATTGGAATAGGGTTTGAGGGTATATGATAATTACTATAACTATAGGGGCCTTATTAAATAGCATAGGGTTTGGGTGTTTGTTATACTATAGCTATAATATAGGATATAGGGGCCTGAATAATTAGAATAGGATTTGGGGGTATATTATACTATATAACAGTAATAAGGAACCCCCAAAACCATGACTCCATGCGCCGCGTTCGTGGAATGTGACCGCTCAGGAGAAAATGCAGTGCTTGGGATCCACCAATCTCGCATGCGCCATCCATCCCCCTCTTTTCGAAAAAGGCCTCAAGGAAACAAGCCAAAGGTTAACATCCTGTCGACTTCACTTCTTACGAGAGCTCGGCACAAAGCTCTGTATGTATGACACAACTTCACCACAAAAAAATGGCCGTCGCCTCGATCAGGAAGCTCTGGCACGAGTTCCCACTGTCGGAACCCCACAGGCAACCCGTTCCTATTATTCAGGAATCTATGTGAACATATTAAAACAAGAGATTGCCTGGAGTTGCTGAATTCTGGCGGCATCTGCTTGATGCTGACTCTGGAAGTGCGTGATCGCCTGATTCACAGGCTTGGGGTTTAGGTTGGTTTATAAGGTTCCGGGTCCGAGGGTGTAGTGCTGTAGGGCTCTGAGCATGGGGTTTAGGGTTTAGGATGTATTGCCCCCCCCACAAGGCCCGCGCAGCGGGGTAGTTCTCGGGTAGTTCAGGGTTTGCTGCGACATGCTTTGTGGATTTCAGTCAACCGTCGGTATCAAGTTTGGCAAGCGAGCACGCCACAGAGATCCCACAAATGCGTGACTCAAGTGGAAAGGTCAGAAGCCTCGTGTCTCCATCCCATTGCCTTTCTACACCGGGAGTTTGCGCCTGGCCAAACTGATGGAGCTGCTGCGTTACCTTCATGGGCTCACTTTGTTTAAACTCGAGTAGCTGCTTTGGTGCCTCTCTGCCGATTGACTCGACGAGCTCTTTCGCATCCACTGGCTTTTGGGGTCTTCGAATCTGTGGAACCGGAGCTCTGTCAGGGGTGTCCGGTCGGTTGACGCTGCTCCCGTGCATACTCCCGGCCTCTTGGAGCCGCGCCTCTGCATCCGTTGTTGCCTGCCATCGGTTGAAAACTCTGTAGAAGCTGTCCTTTAGACGGCTCTGCAGATATACGCGCATGCAATGTCAAGTGGAGTCCAGCAGCGTGACTCCAGGTTTGAACACATGCCTGCTTCAAACTCATGGGCCCGCCATATTAAGTGCAGAGTCTCGACGTATTTCCACCGCACAATCCAGGAGAGAGGAGGAGCAAGTCTGCTCCAACATTCCTCGACCACGGCCCAGAATAGTAGAATCTTTAACCGTTGCCTCAACCCCAGCAGCAAACGGCCAAACAGGTCAACACCCAAAGGCAACGGAACCAACTTCGTCACCAACATTTGGACACTGTGGGCCCTCAGTACCCCACCTGCTTGCTCTGCACCAACTCTTGTCGGAGATTTTCCTGACACAACGTCTTGGCACAGAAACTTGCTTCCTCTTTTCTGCACCAACCCCGCAGAATATGAAGTGGACTTCTGTGTCGAACGCCATGCATGGCCCAGTCTGCGTTGAAGCCAAGCTTCATTCTCCGTCGAAAGTGCGCGGCTTGCATCGGCGACTTGATCGGTCTCCTGCAGAGTTTGTGGCCTTCGAGACTGTTTCAAAAGGACCTATAGTCTCCATTGTAGTTCCTTTTTGGGGATACCTTATAAGATCCTTAATATATAGCTGGTTCAACCAAAAAAAGGAACTACAATGGAGACTATAGGGATCTCTTGATGAACCAGTTAGCGTGAGGACTGGGGCTGGCCCGCCACGCAGAGTGGCTGCCGACCTGTCCGCATGCCTGCTTCCCTCCCTCCCACAGAATCTCCACCGTTCCTTTTTTACTCCCTCCCGCCCTCCCCCCTCCTTTTGCATCTGTGTATCCGTTCAATTTTGTCTGCTGGATATCCCAATCCCCAAGCCCTGTTCGAACGAATCAGACCTGCGGTGGCTGCGCAAATGCTGAGAATGGATCGAACCGCGTCACTTCACAGCCCGTCCTGGCTTTTTTGTAGGAGCTCCTGGAAACGCTCAGATGGTGAAGTTGGAGTTTAGGGTCTAGGGGACTCAAAATGCATGATACGGGTTCCAAAAAAAGGACTGATGTATGAATCGCTCGTTGTTAGGAGGGCTTCACAATTTAGTGATTTTTGCGGAAAATGGGGCTTGCAGGCACAGGTCGCGACGACGACAGAGTATATTAACAGTTTGGTATAAATTATATTATCGTATGTTGTTGGTGGCTGTGGCCGCCATGAAAAGATTACCACACCCGCCTGATTACTATGGCTTCATGATGTTGGAAGCGGTAACGCTTCAGCATATTGCTGAATCAGGACGTGTCCTTAAATCACGGAAATGCCCATGCATTGTATCCCTCCGTATTGGTACAGTATGACAAGTCTTACAGCACACGCAGCAGCTTGATGACTGTGAGGCTTTGGCCCCGAGCTCATTGCCTGATGCCCCTCTTTGAGATCTGTCCTGCAGCTTCTGTTGGGCCTCGTCACGCTCCCGGAGAGCCGACTCCAGTTGCCCTGCCTGGTGGTTGCCGTCAGGCTGCCGGAAAGTCGCTTTCAAGCTGTTTGACTGAAGTCGAGTTCACTCTGGATCTTGCGCGAAAGAGACTCTGAGCCGGGAGTGCGATGCTTCGGGGCAGTAGGCAACCTGCATTTTCCGACGCATTCGTTTGCAAATATTCAAGCCTGAAGATCTCGGACGACGATTCCTCTTAGGCTGGATATCATAACTTATGGCCGCTTGCGGCTACGGATTCATATTCATTACCATGTAGCCCCACAGCGAAGCTCTCATTTCGCTTCCAAGTGCCTGAGATGCCCCAGTCTCCTGGATCGATGCCAAGTCGCCCTGACAGGACCCGGTTCAGTGTGTGGCCCAAGGGTTGACATCGGACCAGTCAATTTGCATCCTAACCTCGCCATACACGCAACAGGTCAGAGCTAACGCCGGAAGCGGTTTCGTCACTTCTTAGGGGTGGAAGGCTTCATGCAGCGACAGTGGATGCCTCAGACACTCCAGCGAACACATTCGCACCGCTCATCCTTCTCTCTTTTGGGCGAGGTTGCAGCGGCATCTTCCGAGGTGAGCAAACGGTGAAACCACTGCAGGACAGGCATGGTCTACATCGCGAAGCCCCTCCTACACTGCATGCAGGCCTGGCCTGCAAGCGCTGGACGGCCGTGGAATCTGCTACACGCAGTTGCTCCAGCTCTGCTATGGCCTTCGTCGCATCTGGGTTCGGCTTGTCTTCGGGCAGTGTCAGGACAGGCAACGATTGGGGTCAAGATGAGTTTCTACTGCTTCAGTAACTCGATAAGCTACATGCAGACTAACTGGCCAATTCACCCCAATGCTTCTCCCATGACTTTTCTACAGTGCGAGAATGCACCTGGCTGCGCTGCTCGAGCTGTAGCTCTGCCTTCGGGCTTCATGCCGCAGGAGCTGCGAGGAAATGAAGGTCAGGAGCTGGTTCGGTAGACTTACCTTTAAACCACCAAAACCCACCTAGTTTTGGTCAGGCTCTCAATTTTGATGTTTAGGGACCCTACAAAAAAGTAAGTTTCGGTAGGTTGAGGTACGCCGAAACACTTTTTTCGACTTCGGTGAAGCTCAGGGTGTGTTGGCATCTCGGCATGTCAGGGTCTCTGCGCCGTAGACCAAGTAACTTAGTTCTGGCCCAGCCTAAATTCCCCGCCCACATCGAAAATCATCGAAACCTCTCTCCTTAACTTCTGGGAATTGACACAGGACCCTTTTTCAGCACGGACTGAGGTGCCGGCCAGCGCCCATGCAACCCTCACCCCGTCTTAAGGCAAGAGCGCAGGAAAAGCTGT